GTAGTGGTACACGCACCCACACAGAACTGCTGATACTGCTGCTGCTGTCTGCATCACCCTTCTTGTTGTTTGTGAGTTCAGGAGGAAGTGTTGTTGTTGTAGTGGTGGTGGTGGTGGTGGTTGTAGTTGATTCCTCATTACGTGGTGTATTGGGAGTTTCATAGTTCGTACTCGCTGTGTTATCGTTCTCAGTTGTATCGTTTTGTTGTTGAGATTCCTGTGTAGCAGTGTTCTGTTCCTGAACCGTCGCAGCACTGTGTTCTTGACTGCCAGAACCATTTGTATTGGATCCATCGGAAGAATTGGGTTGTGGTTCATTTTGAGGTTCTTTCTTCTCTCCTTCTGTATTCTTCTGTGAGTCTTCAGATTGTGTGTTATCTTCTCTCCCAGCATCTGTATTCTGCATAGCATCACGGCCATCTCTCTGCTCAGATAATGTTCCATCACCGTTTTTCTGTTCTTCAGGACGCTCAGCACTATTATGTTCAGAAGTAGTACACGGTGTACCAGTCGAAGCACCAGAGGAAGTCGTGCAAGTAGTAGAATCAGCAGAAGGATGAACACCAGGTGCAGGGGGATGAACAGGTACAGCTGCAGAAGAAGAAGGACATTCAGACCCAGAAGAATCAGAAGGGCAACGAGTATCAGACTCAACTTCAGAAAGTGCAGCAGCCTCGCCAGCGAACACGCAGAGAGAGACAAGACTCAGCAAGAAAGCAAAAAAACACAATAAACGTCGCAGCACCCTCATCACGGAAAACTTTAATCCTCTTTTGTTTTCTTAGGTATATAAGCTGTTAAAAATCAAAACAATAAAATATAACAAAAGTAAAATAAATTAGAAACAGACAAACGGGAAAGAATACAACAAACAAGCAACGATGACTCACAAGAAGAACACCAACACAAAGTATAAAAAACCAAAGAAACAGGCAGCTCACAAAGAAACGCCCAAGCAAAAACAATTATAAACAATTTACGAACACATCGAACAAAGCCAGCAGCTGCACAAACATAGCAAAGAGGCCGTATTGTGCATTTGCACATAAACAACTAAGAATAAATATGTATCAGTTACTCTGTTTTCTTCAGAAAGCAAATCAGTACAAGGTATACAAAAGCAAACCAAAGAAACAGATATTTCAATAATTAGCCCAATTTATCCAGTAAACACAGAAATATACACCAACTATGGGTATAAGTCTATATATGTGTGTATACGCAATTATAAATATAAATTCATCTGTTAGTATTTTTTCGCTTTCACCATTGCAAAAAGCAGTTCATCATCACAGTGCAAGCCCAGGTGCACACAGAGTCACCAAGAACACAAACAATATCCCATGGCTCTAGTTTATGTATATTAAATTACTGCACACACACATCTGGGTGTACTAGCAAGAGATGTATACCGTCAGTG